GTGTCAATCAGTAGGACAGCATTGCGGCAAATTGGACAATATAATGAACAACAGATCTCAGCTCAATATTTTCGATAACCTTCCTCAGGGACAGCATTCTGTCTTCCCTTCACAGTTTGGCCGTGGGACCTTTCCTGGAATCTGTCATCCAACACAAATATATCTGCCTCGTCTACATTTCAGTCACTTCCCCAGCAGGCTCAAGCAGTGGCTGGATATTTATCTGCAACCACAATTGCAACCGAAACATGCACAGATGAACTGGAACCCTGAATTAGTGAACTGAGAAAATAAGATTTGAAGAGAAAATCCGGTCACATGTCATTCCTCGATGCAGGTTAAGATGATACTCAAAGCACTGGTCTAACCAAGTGTAAATATAGTGCAGCCACGAAAACAAATTTTTTTTTTTTTTGGGCATGAAGTGTGTGGAAAATATTAACCCTGCCATCGAATTTGTGGTTCTTAAGTAGAGCTTAAACGATATGTTGAAACTATTTAATGGCATTATAATTGCATCTGAAATTTGTATGAAATAACGTCATCGCTTTTGCGTAATCAAAATTGAATTAGTATCAAGATGCTAAACACAGTAAGAAACTCTTCTCAATTTGAATCAACAGTCGTACCAATTTGTACATATACTCCATGGCCTAAGATAGAAACAGGGAAAAAAAAAATATATTCACATTCAGAAAAATCTCAAACCACACTTGAATTATCTTCTGCAATGGACTTTTCTTCCTCGTCTTTATCATTCTTGGATTTTGAAGAAGCTAAATTTTGCTTTGGAAGTAAATTGGGGGCTCTCTCACTTGATTTCTTCAAACTAAGTGAAGTGTAAACTGTCATTCCACCAAGAGCTATGACAGCACCACAAATGCTTACAAATCCTGGATCAGAACCAAAAAGCAGGTACCCTCCTAGTAGAATCACACAAGTTTTAAATTGTCCTAAAATGACATGCGATGTTGCAGAAGTAGCACTGCACGAGTAAAATAAAAAGGTTCTTGGTTAATTGTATTGTATGGCCGCATATATATGGAAAATGTAAAAACAGGACGTGATGGACTCGAGAGTTGAATTTCTCACCCAAGTGCCAAAGCTCCAGACCACTGTAAGAGAAAGCCGAGTAAAGCTGATACTAGAATGGCAATGGTGTTATGGACGTCCCATTTGAAAGACATTACCCCGGGAGGGTCCAACCATGGCATAAGAGCTACTAAGAAGAAGACTGTAACTGGCGTCGTCTTCCACATCAACCTATGTAAGTTTTTCTTCTTATTATTGTCGTCTGTAACAAACATGCATACTAAAATGAAAGAAGTTGTATAAACTTACGAAAGAGCAGTCCAGTTGCCCTGCTGCTGCAGACGAGACCAGAGGATTTTGTTTATGGCGCTCGGGAATATCCAGGCGACTGCGACACAAGCACCGAAAAAATTGAATTCCAAGTCTGTTACAGTTGCAACTGCCACACCGAGTGAGACGACAGCTAGAGTGAGAACCTGTGTCGTTACAATGTATTGCAATAGATATAAATACGGAGTTCAAAGTATATAATTAGCACAAGGAAATTTCATTTTCACCTTACTAAATGATATGGTCTTTCTGAAAAGAATAAATTCTGCAATGACAATGGTCGGAGTGACTGCAATTTTAGCCATCTGGTAAAAACCAACACTGCACAAGAACTGAACAATGAGGAAACGGGAGATTGTACAATTAGATAATTATAATAGAGACGTGGATGGGGACCTGTTATGCTTTAGGCTGGTATTTGCAAGTCCAGAAGCAAAAGCCATGACGGCGCCCAAAGCAAACAAAGACGAGAATGGAGTAGTTTTAGAAGGAGGTGAGACGGGAAGCAATGAGAACACCTTGAAAAAGGCGAGCAATATCCAAGCAGAAGCGTAGTGAACTAGCGTAAGAAATATGGGGTAGTTAAATCCAACTTTCCCCATAACCTGTAATATTATTGAAGTGTATCAGAGCAAATGAGACAAAGATCATCAAATTAAAAATCACGAAATTCACATTTCTTGAAGTACTCATACACTGAGCTAAAGCTTGAAAATAGAAATATACTAGTAGTAGAAAAACTGAACCTAACAGAAAAAGAAAACGCGAAAAAACAAGGAAGAAAATACACACTAATTTGTTCCCCAGAATAATTCCGACAGCAACCATGAAATTGAAGGACATTGCCACGAATGGACCACAATATCTTTGCTGTTGGCGCTTGGCCCCTTCGGAAGTCCTAAGCTCATTGTAAAGAGAACCTCTGAGTTCCTCCATCGCACGACCTGAAAATATATTCATATCCTATGATTGATCTGAACCAGTCAGCCCTCAAATGCAACTGTCTACGTATAAATAATATTAGCCTCATCAATTCACTAAATTTAGACAGCATGATATGAAAGAATCATGAATTTCCTAAGAAACAACATCTGATCACCCACTATCTAAAAATGTACTAAAATGTAATAATCCCAAATTAAAAAGAAAAGCTTAACCAACAGCTAAAGACAATGTTGGATATTGGTTAAATAAATTGAGAATTGAAAATCGATTAAAGTTTGTATCGAATTCGGCCAAATACTCAAAAGCTCGA